CCCTGGGGGAGGTGATGGAAACACATTAAAACTGGATTGTGGTGATGGTTACACAGCTCTGTAAAGAATACCTTAGTAGAGCTATTAAAAAGAAATTTTCACCATTAAACTAACTTCCTGTTTACACACTGGAACAAGTTAGACAACACCATGAGGAAAGAATCAGGTTAAAATGTGGGACATTCTATAAGAAACAATTTACAATGTTAAGGACAAACAAGCAGGGGATGACTGCAGAATTACAGACGAAAGGTACACAGCAACCTAGAATAATGCATAAATCTCAATCAGATTCTGCACTGGAAAAGCAAAAGACATTTCTGGAGTTGGTGGGGAAGTCTGAATTTTGACTGAATTTTAGATGATATTATGAAATTATTGGTCAATTTTTATGCATATAATGGTATTATTCAGTTGCAGTATGTCCCCTTTCTTAGTATATAGATGCTGAAATATTTAGGGATGATATTTAGGGATGAAGTACCATGTCTACAACATACTTTAAAATGGTTCAGCAAAAATAAAAGTGTATTTGTAAAGATAAAACAAATAGGGAAGTGAACCTGGTTGAAAGGTATTAAAAAAGTTCATTTTACCTCTTCAAACTTTTCTGTAGGTTTAAAATTTTTTTTAAATAAAAAGTGGCAAAACCTCATTCAGGCACACTTAGAATGACATTAAGAAATATATATATGTGTGTATATGCCTGTATACATGTGTGTATATATATATATAGCATCTAAATATATGACTTACATAGGAATAAATATATATATTTATACATACAATGTTCAGGATCTCTTTGGTGATTATAAAATTTTATTAAGACATTAAAAGGACTTAGACTAAGACATATAACATATTCATGGATTAGAAGGCCCAATATAATGACGCTAATTCTCTCCAAATGGCCCACAGAATCATGATCAAATCAGGCCCACCCTGTTTGTTTTTTTAGTTTTGGGGAGGAAACTGACAAGCTGGTTTTAAAATGGACATGGAAGAACAACTGACCAAGAAGAGCTACAAGCTCTTGAAGAACAGCAGCAAAGTGAAAGGACTTGCTATACCATATATTAAGATAAGAGTATTGAAGAGAGTGTATACAACACAGGAGAAATCAATAAAACAAAATTAAAAGTCCAGAAATAAATCTTTGCACATATCAACCCTTAATATATAACTGAAAAGGCACTTCAAAGCAGTAGGAAAAAGGAAAATTTTTTCAACAAATGGTACTAGGACAACAGATTAATCACATAAAGATACAAAAAAAAAAAAAATTACCACATGTCAAAGACAGTTTCAAGTAGGATGACACCTCAATGAGAGGGGCAAAACTATAAACCATTTAAGAAGAAAATATCAGGCATATTCACAGTCTGGAGATAGAATGAGTTTTTAAGTGAAATATAAAACATGCTACCCATTAAGCAAAAATTAATATATTTGAACATATGAAAATGTTAATCAAAACAGTATAAAAAGACAAGCCACAAATTGAGAAAAGATTCTGCAATACCACTCATAAAGGAGTAGTATCCAGAATATATAAAGAACCCTCTGTAAATTGTTAAGAAAAACGGACAAAAAACTTAAACACATATTTCACTCACCAAAGATGAAATCCAAATAGTCAATAAACTTAGAGGCATTTTCCCATGCTATCAGTCAGAAAGTAAATTAGTAAAGTCTTTTCTGAAAAACAATGTGATAATATATATGTACAGATGAAACGTGTTCAGCTTCATTTGATGTAAGGAAAATGCTAATTAAAACCACAAGATAACATTATACACTCAACAGATTAGTAAAACTTAAAGTGTCAATACATTCTTGATGGGATGAAAATCAGTACGAACATCTCTGGGAAATAGTTTGGCATGATCTAGCTAAGTTGACTGTAATAAACCCAGTACCCCTGAGGCTCTGCTCTTAGGTATATTTCCTTTTAAAAACACATGCAGAAGTTGCTTTTTAGTCACTAAGTCATATCTGACTTTGTGCAACACCATGGACTGTATCCCACCAAGCTCCTCTGTCCATGGGATTTCCCAGGCAAGAATACTGTAGTAGGTTGCCATTTCCTTCTCCAGGAGCTCCTCCCAACCCAGGGATCCAACCCAGGTCTCCTGCCTGGCATGCTGCTTCTTTACCACTGAGCCAGCTGGGAAACCTTTCAAAATGCATACTCCAAATTTGAAAAAAAAGAAAAAAAATACTCCAAAACACACATACAAAATATCCAGAGCATCACCATTTGTAATATCCCTAAATTAGAGACAACCCAGATGCAGATGTTCAGAGTAAAACAGCAAAATAAATTATTATATTCAAACAATGGAATAAGCAAACTATAGCTTATATAGCAAATTACAGGGATGAATCTTATAATGTTTAGAAAAGCGAACAAGTCTTAAAAGTGTACAGTATAATTTGATTCACAAAAACTTCAAAAATAGGAACCAAAAAGTGTGTTTAAGAATGTATATGTAGGTGGTAAAACTATAAAGAAAGAAATGCGAAGAAATGAAGAGCCAGGATGGTGCTAAAGAGGACAACAGGAGCTGTGATAGGATTCTCTGAAGGAACTTCTGAGATGTTAGAAATATTCTCTTTCTTCATCTGGGTAGTTACATAGGTGTTTATGACCATCTCCTTAAAAAAATAATCTATGTGTATATATCTGTGTATACATACACATGAAGATGTTTCCATAGACTTTCTGCATACTCTACAATAATAAAAAGATACACAAATGGTCAGTAAATGCAAAAAGACATTTGACCTCACTAGTAATTAGTAAAATAAAAACTAAAACAGCATTGATTACCTATCACGATTTGCCTAAAATGTAAGATTGACAATATCCATTTTTGCTGAAGTTGCAAAGAAATAAGAGTTCTCCTTATACTGTCAGAAGGAAAGTAAATTCGTAAAGCCTTTGTGACAATATATATAAAAATGTAAAACCCATATATCTCATGAAGTACCAATTCCAATTTTAAATATCCACCCTAAGGAAATACTAGCACATGTACAAAATATGTGTAGAAAGGTGTTTACTGTTCACTACAGCATTGCCTGCAATAGTTAAAAAAATGAGTGTCAATAAGGGAATATTTATGAAAAGTATCATAACCCATACGCTGGAATACTATGCAGCTATTAAAAATTAAGATAAATCTTTATGAACTGACATGCAAAGATCTCAAAAATGAACAAATTAACAAAAGCAAGTCACAGAACATATACACAGCATAACTCTATTTTTAAAATATAGAAACATATATGAATTTATATATATATATGTATGAAAACAGACTAAAATTTTATATTCTAACCTGTGAGCAGTGATTACCTTTGGGGAAGGGAGGGGAAGGGAGAAGTAGGGTAAAGAGGGTACTTTTACATCTTACACTATATTTCTGAATTTTTGTAAGAACACATCCACAGACTACTTGTTCATTTTTAACAGGTGGTAATAGCAAAACAACTGTATTACTATTTATTCCATTCCAATGAGAACAACTGAATACATTTGGAAATAACTTGCTTTCAAAGCTAATTCTTTTGTTCCTGGAAGGCCTCAAGAGAGCCTATCATGTGTTACAGGGCCATCAGCCATCAACGATGAACCATGTGCAGGATATTAAGTGACTTGGTCCATCTCCAGGCTCACCCCTTGAAAATATTTGCATACATTCTCCTATCCCAGCTCATTGGCAAAGACAATGTTTTCCCAAAGCACTTTGCTAAAGTAAATAAACTCTGATGCTACACATCAAATCACAACTAGAGCAGTGTAGATGTGGCTGTCAAGATGTATGTTTAGATCTAAATTTTCAATCACACCCTTGATGAGTGACTTTTGGAATTAGCAGTTTGTATTTAGATTCACAAGGAAGAAGCTAGAGCCCACTACATCTTCTCCAGTTACTCCACCACAGCCCTTTCCAAGTCAAATGATTTCCTGTAAAAGTGGGAAAAAGAGAAACCTGATCACTAGTCACGGGGAACTGGTAGTGAATCAAAATTAAAAGCGCTATCAGTACATTTATGAAGGAAAATCCAACTCCATGCATACATTTTTGTGTGCATTTTATTTTCGATTGGAATCATATCCATACGAATGAAAACTGCCCAAGTATTCTTTACTCTTTTGAAAGCTATGCCAGCTGTGCCTTGCCTTGCTGCGTCAGAGGAAGGCGGAAACGAAGCTGGTAATGCTGGAGACATCCCTGCTTCCATATGCACACTGATAGGAGAGGAGCTGTCTAGGAAATGCCTTTCGGTTGATGAACAGAGGAGAATCTATACACACGTGAAATACAAATGGAAACACATCAGCACACGCAAGCCATTAGCCTGGTCCTCCGGCATCCGCCTGGCATGCATCTGTTCCAAAGGGTCTCTCATTCAATGGTGTCAGCACTTGGTCTCATTATGCCTCTTATCAGCAAATACCTTTCCACTCCAGAATGGAAAACAAGCTAGGAATTAAATACATCCAATATTGATGCATTATTTCCATAAGTCACCAATAAAAGAATGAATTTAATTTTAATACATTTATTTTCGTGTGATTCTTAATAAAACACTTTCAAAACATTCTGTACATTTCAAGCCACTCAGAACTGCATTACATTCTATAAATGAGATTTGTTGGGATGAGGTGCCAAGATGTCTCTGTACAAAGATGTACAATATGTACAGTCGCTGTAAGTGCAAGCTGTGCAAAGCAGTCTACAACACTAATTCATGCCAAGGCTTAGAAAACATTTCAACACATAAAACTAAAGCTTAAAACTGCATCGTAATTTTTTTTTTCCTGGGCAAATGATTAGTTTATAAACAAATATATGTATATGTCATATAGAAAGAATAATTTGATTCTTCAGCTCAGTCAGCACCATGCAGCTGACTGGATACATTGCAAGGCTGCTCTCCTAGGCTTCTCCTTCTAGGGCGCCATTCTGCCAGACCGAATGGTTGTCTCATCACTGAGCTGCTGCCGCCACCTTTGGCTGAACCACAGCAACACTAGGAGGTTTAAACTTGGGGAGATAAAGGCCAAACTTGTTCTCAATGCCAGCAAAAGTGGCGGTGGCGAGTCTGTATCCACCGATGTGATCAGGATTGGCAGGAGGAAGGTCTGCGATGCGGGACTTAGGTGTTGGTTCTGAGCCAGAGGGTTTGCTGTTGATAGGAAAAGTCAATGGTCAGTGTGTTCCCGATCGAGGAACAGCATATACACGGCATTGTGGAGCAACTATACTCCAAAAACACAAACCAAAACACTGAAGAAGGTGACACACAACTGAACACTTTCAGTCTGACCCATGTGCCACCAAGAAGAGTGTCCAATTATTTCCTTGTCAGTTATGCTGCACTAGTCATGATTTATAGCTGCATTGAAAGCAACACATTCACATATTTGTTTTAGAAGAGAAATGGCCTCCATTTCATACACATAAATAGATCCACAGAAAGACAGACCGGAAGAAATACACTCATATATTACCACTCTGGGAAGTAGGATTACAAATGATTTTTCTATTTTCCCAATTTTTTACACTGAGCATAAATTCATTGCAGAAAATTTACATTTTCTTTTGACATAATTTTAAAAGCTAACTTTTTAAGTAATAAGCTCATGAAGGTTATTACTAAAATTATTTAAAGAGAAGTAAACATAATTCTTACTTTTCCAGAATGCAAAAGTACTGAAAAGCCTGAAACTTTGAGATTGTGCTTACTTTCTTTGTGTAAGTCCCTCAACTTCTTGGTTTAACAGCTAACTCCCTACCTGGCTTCTGAGCAGGAAAAGAGTTCATAGGTTTATGCAGTAAAGACTCATACAGAATTTGATCTTCTGTTGAAAAGCTGGTAATTGCTTGCTTTGGGTACAACCTTCCCCTCCCAGCAAATTCAAGTGATTCCTCTTATCCATGGTGAAAGCTTCAAGTACTAACTGTCAAAAAGCCCAATTTCTGGCCTAAATCTCACCAGTGATTACATCCGTGGACACAACCTTTCTTTAAACCTTTTTTTTTTGCAGAGAATTAGTTCTAAGAACTTCTAAACCTATCTAATAATAAATTATGGTGAATAATGAAATCATGAGGGTGTGAAAGGGCTTGACTGAGTTTTCAGAAGTTTACAAAAGTGTAACTAACACAAATTTATATTACTTCTCGTAAAAAGGCCAAATAAGGACCTAAATCCGTGACGCGCAGTATCTGCTTACACTAAAAAGGAACTATTCATATTACATTTTAATTTGCTTCCTCTCTAACTTTGCGCAAGCAGTTGCTTAATGCTGTGTATGGGGTCACCCTGTCCAAGTCTTACTCCTTTAACAGTGAAGAGTCTCAGTCCCATGGTTTGTTTTAAGCGTATTGCTCCTGCAGGGTCCTCTGTCCTGTCAGTTGCTATCCCAAAAATGCCTTTATAGGCTGAACAAACACCTGTCTGGCATTTTGGTGCTTTCTTTATAAGGGAGTTTGAAAAGTTGCACTTACAGGCCTCCAAAATCAATGTAAAACCACCGCTGGAGAAGTTCATAGGTGACCAAAGTAACACCAAACTGGGGAGAGGATCGAAACACTCGAGCTAAAAGAGAGAGAAAGGGTGAGGGGGGCAGTTAACAGCAGGATGGCTCCAGAAAAGACCACAAGCGAGTAATGGGAGCAGGACCCCAATGCCAACCAGCCTTTCCACACGGCTCCAGCCCCTACCTGCAGTTCCTTTCCAAAATGCTGAGGGCCCTTCTTCCCGGAGTATCTTCCTGAAACAGTCGATGACACCACTGTATGTTGTCTGGCCAGCGCGGGCAGCCACCTGCAGTCTTGTCTTGATGACATCAGCAGGGGTCACCAGAGAAGCAGCAGGCACACCTTCCAGGAGAAAGGCACATTTAATTCATCCCAAATACCTTACAAAGGATAGACAGACTGCTAACAACTAACAGTACAATTAGCAACTTTGACTGCTTTAACTCAATGCTTCTTATATAGATACCTTGGGCAATAATGGAAAAAGGATATAAAATCCCACTAGCTGCTCAGTGGAGTCAGGGTAAAACTCTTTTATTCACTCTGAATTAGGAAAATCACTCTATGTTGCATGATCCCAAAGAACAGTGAGAGGAATAAATGAAGCAATATCACTAGGACAATTCCCAGTGTTCCCCTTTGGGTTTCAATTATTTTATTACCTCTTTCCTTTTCTTAAATAAGACAGTATTTTCATGTATAATAAAGAATGAGGATAATATCAATTTAATGAGCTGCTAAATATATCTGATAGCAAACTGTAGTGTTTATTTTTTTTTGCCGATTCCTGTCGCCTTGCTGCATGAGGTGAATATCAATACTCACACCCACTCACCCTTTGAGGGGCTAACTTGAGAGTTGACTGTGACTCCTTTCAGACATGCTTACATGACAGAGTCATTACAACTGAAGCAGAGGTGGCCGGGCAACCAGTTAGGGAACAGGGGGGGAACTGATCATCAAAAGGCCTTGCAGCCATTCCCTGGGCCCGAAATCCCTGGGGCCACGCTGAGACTCATCAGCGGCAGGACACTCAAGACGGATTTCACAACCACACCTTTCACTTATAAAACAAAACAGGGAACAAAGGAGCAAGATAATCTTCCTCAGGGGGAAGAAATTCAATTTGGTCTGAATTTCACTGAATCATCACTAGGCAGATGAAGCTGGCCACTCAGGGTAGGTAGTTGGGGCGGGCAGCAGGGAATGCTCTGTTAGAGACGATGCAAATATCCTCCCGCCAAGCCCTATACCTCATTCACGTGAAACTAGGTAAATTGCTGCCTTTGGAATGTTCTGAATCCTGAATGTTCTCAGTGCCTGCCAGCAAAGCTTTACAGGTAAAAATTAGAAAAATTCATTTCTAATTCCAAAAACTGACAGCAAATGTCTGTGGGCAAGAAGCTGGTGCTGACAGCTCCATGAAAATGTTTACATGGTTCCATCAGCCACTGGCAAAATGCCTGTCCATGATTAGAGTGTTCTTTGCTGCTGTCTGAATAGCAGAGAGCAAAGATGAGGAAAGATGGCCCTCCCTTCAACTGGGGCGGCTTTGGTGAATACCTGAAAGGAGCTGGATGAACACTCAGTGCCAAGACTGAGCTGGTAGCTTTACTGGCTTTTGAATTATAACTGCAAGTGACTGCCCCAAATAAGGGCTCAAGGCTCCCTGGGAGAGCTTCTTAATCATCACAAGTCATTCCCTGTCATCACGGATGAGAAGAATAACATGTCCAGCCAGCAGCCCTGGACCCCAGGGTTCCTGCTACATACCACACCCCCAGGGGTGCCCAGGCTGTCCTGCTGTGCTGAGCCAGCAGACCAGAGGAGAAGGCACCCAGTGAGAGCCACGCACTGCAGGAGCCTGGGTGGCCAGGGCCACCTGAGCACCCAGGGGCAGCACTGGGCTTGTGTTCATTCACCTTGCCCGCCTGTCTCCCTAAGCAGCAGTGATGGCAAGTGAACACACACCCTTTCCTTCTTCTGCCAAGTCTGAGGATTGCTGCCATGAAGGACAACCTGGTCCTCCCCGTCTATCTGGAATCAGCTCCCTCTCAACACAAGAGAAAGGCTGGAGCACGGGGTTGAGAGGAAGCTTCTCAGTACCTTCCTACATTTGAAACCCCTGCCTTCAAGGGGCTCCCGGCCCAGGAGAGAGGGCAGAATTTACGTAAACAACCATCAGTAAAAGACGGAGCATGTTAAGAGCTGAGAAGAGATGCCACCGCGGAGTGGCTGCTGAGGAAGTATGGCTTTGTTTGGTCTGATGAGGATGATGGTAGAAGGAACACGGACAGGTTCAAACTCAAGCTGGAGCCAAATCATGTTGATTCCAATATAAAGAATAAGAAAGTGAGGGGATGTTAGACCTGTGCATCAGGATGAGGTGCAACAAAGCAACTGATGTGATGAAGAACTTTTCTACATTAACGCTCAGCTTGACTGCACCTGAGGTTTCAGGGGCAGAGAAGGCTAAGAAACACGGTACTGATGAAAGCCCAATTGAGATGGGCAGAGCTAATTTGGCTGCGAGTTCCTAAGCTGCATTAAGCTGTTTATCCACATTATGCAAATGTAATTAACGCTCATCAGAATTATAGCATACCCCACAAAGGAGAAAAAGCGGTCATATTTAAACTAAGTCAGATACAAACAATACCTTTCCAGAAATAAAGAAGAGGAGCACAGAGATTCTGTCCTTAGAGAATGGGGGTGGGGTGGGTAGGGACTCTTTTGGCTTAAAAGAAAAAAAAATAGTTACCTGCCATGGCTCCAGCTGCAAGGAGATTTATACCTCCCACGTGTCCGTTTTCATCAGCCAGAAGTAGTTTGCAGTGAGCATAAACAGGAAAATAAATTGCAGAGAAGGGAATGTCTCGGAGGAAACACGCTTTGGCACCCTGTCACGGAGTGAGGAAATAGTGCAAAACAGTTGTATAAACAAGGTGTGAATGACCACGAGGGATCCAGGGTTACAAGCCAGAGATGTCCCTCAGACAGCATTGAGACTGACGTGGAAAAGAAACAGGATAACAAGTCAGGCACAGGGAAATCGAGAAAGGGCTCAAAGTTTGAGAAAGTCTGGTGGATCTGGGAGTCCTAGAGTTAGTTAACAATGGTATTCTGACAACTAAGAATCTTCTGGCATTTCCACTATGGATTAGATTTTAAGGTTAATAAAAATTCAATGTTCAAGCCTCTAGGCCGCTTGTTCTGGTTCGCCTTGGTGAGTGCCAGGGGATGGGGTGTGGCTGGGAACAGACTTAGAAACCCAGTATTGATAGCTTGATTTCAAAGCAACCAACGAAGGCAGCTCCTCAAACTAACGAATTACCAACTCGGTCCACCTCCGCGTAGAGCCCCTGAAGCACCAGGTAAGAAGCTATGGGTAGGAGCCATAGAAAAGGAAGGGAAGCTTCCCTGGTGTCTCAGATGGTAAAGAATCTGCCCCCGCTGCAGGAGACTTGGGTTTGATCCCTGGGTCGGGAAGATGCCCTGGAGAAGGGAATGGCTACCCACTCCAGTACTGCCTGAAGAATCCCATGGACAGAGGAGCCTGGTGGGCTACAGTCCATGAGGTCTCAAGGAGTCGGACACAACTGAACGACTAACGCATTCTAGGGAAGGGGAAAAAGAAACCACCAAACTTCCCTCCTCACTTCCCATGTCCTAAATGGCAGAGGACAGGGAAACCCAGACAAAATATTTTATCAGGAAGTTTCCCTGAGAGTAGAAATCTAGTCAGACAGCTTGTCTTGGTGACTGACACTGCCCCTTCCTCAGCCCACACTAGCCTACTGCTGAGGCTTTAGCCGGCCAGGCAAACACTCCGCCTTTGGTACTTGTTTTCCGGATGGCTCTGTTTTTAAAAGACAAACTCAAACATTAAAGAAAAAAAAATTCCTGGGACTCTCTGAGAGATACAGTGAGAGACAATTTTAATAAAGTCAGTTTTCAAAGGGAATTCTAAAAAGGATGGCAGTTGGGGGTAGAAGGGAGAGAGTATGTACAAAACTCTCAGGACAGGCATCATTGGTTTACTGGTCTCCTAAGAGCTTTGTAGCTGTGTGATTCTAATCGAGAGAATTTCTAATTTCCAATTTGCAGCTACAGAAGCCAATTTACACATTTCTACAGTGATGGATCTATAAATAAATCAGACACTGTGGAAACACAGTTGTCTATAAAAGCTAAATTTTCATATCCCTCGCCTTACACCAGGCAAAAGAAGAGAAAGAAATACTCTTCCTTGTTTAAGAAAAATAATAGCTTCTGCTCCATTACATCTGATCTGTAATGATGGGAGTAAGCATACCTGCAGGGAAGGAATCTGTTGACTGGCATTTTGCTAAAGTACAGTACACTCTGGTTTGCTTTTGTTTTGCTTTTTTAAAATGCAATTCATTATTGACAAATCCCACCACTTAACTTCTTAAAGACCCGAATCCTACCAAACTCTACTACTGTTTCACTGTGGTCAAATTATTAAGACAAAGTCAAGCTCCTACTGGGAAGATAACAATAGAGATAGCTCAGACTCAAAATAAACATAAGACTATTTTGAAGTCAGTCCTAAACCAGCCCCAAAAGAACACCAAAGAAACTTTTCCCATATCCACCGGTAAATAAAAGGCTGTGAGCCTGAAGCCAGCGGGTCTGTGGTGCTGGCCTCCCTGCTGGCAGCTTCATAAAAGCCTGAAGATGACAACAGGACGGCATGGTTGTACATCCCACTGCCTCTAATAGAAGTGTCCTGATTTTTTCTTTTTGTTTTGATTTTCTACTATTGGAACTACCCTGCTGGACAAGATTGCTTTTCCATTTATGGGGAAGTAGTCTGATTTTGACATTTTTTCACATTTCTATGGAGTACACTACAACCTCTCTATTGAGAAAACCCAAGGGAATCTACCCACCTTATACAGACCAAACAGTCCCAGGTCCCGGAGCACATTCAGGGCACTGACCCTGGGTCCTGTGGTGATCTCTCCAGCTACCTGTAGGCGAATCTTTACTATCTCCAGAGGGTTAGTAAAGATGACCTGAGAGCCGCCAGCCTGCAGGCAAGAAAGGAGACAGAGCAGATTTCCATATCAGCGCCTGACCGACCAGGAGTACAGCCAAAAAAAAATCTGTAGACCTCCACACTGTACCTCTTTACTCCTCCCCCTTTGCAGGGAGGGGAATGAGAGTCCAATGCTTTGGCCGATGCTGGAAGGGCTCAGAGGGATGGCCCCAAACTCTGTCTCAAATCAACTTATGTCTAGTTTTGCTTCTATTTGAAATGTCAGGAGTGTTTCCCAGATCAGTCTTCCCTGGGTCAACCCAGCCATATCCAAAATGGCAAAACTAATAAACTCATTTGGAAAACAAAAGTGAAGCCAGATGTGGCAGCTGGTGCTCCAAAGAAAGGGAAAGAGATGGTAGGAGATTGACTGGTATCTTCTACCAAGCTGGAGCTAAAATTCAGATCTACATAGCTTCTTTCCTCTTCTTAAAAACAAGCAGTCTCCTTAGCTCAACCACTTGCTGCCACTTTCTTGGACTGCAGAGCAATTAACACAGAGGTGTTTTTACCCCACGCTAGCCAAAGGTGGAAAGTCTCCTCTGGTTCAAATTCTAAAATGTATTATCCCGAACAAAACTCTGCAATCACATCCACACAAAAGAAGATAATTTGGAAGGACAATTGCAGTATCATTTCAAGACCAAACTAGAAACACTGTTCAAGACAGAGGTGGGAAATGGAGCATCTAGTTATCACAAGTACAAGAGAAGACAAACCAAAGCCACACTCCACACTCACCCGTGGTGAGCGATCATAGATACTTAAATTTAGATAATGAAAGTGTATCTGCACTGGAAGTCTGTTGGGGGGAGGAGAGAGAATGTTTAACAAAACTGCTACCAACTCCTTTTTTGGTTTCCATAGGAAGAAAAAAATGTGTGTGTGTGTACACATATGGATACATAAAAATAAATAAAAATTAAAAAACATAAATATATGTTTTTTCCATTCATGAAGTGAAAAAAATCTCATTTGCACATTGTCATCTTAAGTGTAGCTGTTTATATTATATAATCAGAACCACACTCGTATAACCATAATTACATTACATAATAACTTCACTGTAATAGCATGTCACATGTGAAACAGGAAACAGGTGCCTCATTGGGTACTGGAATTCCACAGGTATATAAAGACTATAAACAACACCCATAAAACCCACAAGCAACATTCAATGCCACTTCAATACTCTACCTTCACCCATATTCCTGTTCATTTTTCTAAAACCCATAGCCCTCCAGACCCCCTTTCCAAGGGACAGCAAAAAGTCCCAGACCATTCTCCTAACTGACCAGGGGCTATAAACCAACAAAACACTCCTGTTCTCACCCTGATCCCTCATTCCTATCAACATCCACAACTGCCAACACTGACACAAGATTCCTTTCCTCTTGGTAGGAAGTTGATTGCCTTGGATTCCTCAGGGCCCTAATCCTCTTTTTGTCCACCAAGTACTGAGGATGCAGCAATTTGCTGTCTCTCTCTGGATTTCCCAAATCTACACAACCCAGACCACTGGCACAAAGGTTCCTGAATGATGACTGACCCAATTTTACATGTTGATTTGCCCCTGCTTCTGTCTCTTAATCTGTTGCACTGCAGGCAGGAGAAAGTATTTCAATGTTTCAATCTAAGGAAACAATACTTTGAAAAGGATTGCTGGGTGAAAAATTATGTTAAAATGATAATCCAAGTAATTGCTCCTGTAGCTCTAGTATTAAAGACCAAACCAATTACAAAAGTTTAGTACTTCCTTGAAACCTCTTGTTTAAATAATGGTTGCAAAGACTATCTCTGGGAAAATGCGCTTTATGTGCTAAACTAAAGCAGATTAAAAAAAAAAAGCATAAATTTTTATTATAATCCCCCAAATTCGCCACCACCAGATGATGTCAACCCCTGGGTTCTACTCATTAAATATGGACATTATGTTTAAATAAATACAAAGTTCTTTCATGTTTTTAATCATTAGTAAATTATAATATCCCGCAGAGTAGGAATACTCCAAACAGCACTGCACCCCCCAACCACACAGACACAGCTCCCTCCTCCTCTTCTGTCTCTCACAGACCCTTCTGGAAATAACTGTCAGTTTAGTGAAGTTTGTATTTAACAACTCTCCAAATTTCTTTCATGTGCATGTAATAGGCTTTCAATTAAAACAGTACAAATAAAAGAAGGAAAACACGAACACATTAACCATTACACGCCTTTAAGATCTGTTACCCAGCACCTGTACTACATATACAAAAAGGGCCATACAGGCAAAGCTACGGTTTTTCCAGTAGTCTTGTACAGATGTGAGAGTCAGACCATAAAAGAGGCTTTTCTTTCAGCTGTCTTTCATCAGTTAGAAAGAATTGATAATTTCAAACTGTGGTGCTGGAGATTTGAGAGTCCCTTGGACAGCAAGGAGATCAAACCAGTCAATTCTAAAGGAAACCAACCCTGAATATTCATTGGAAGGACTGATGCTCAAGCTGAAGCTCCAATAGTTTGGCCGCCTGATGCGAAGACATGACTCACTGGAAAAGATCCTGATGTTGGAAAAAATTGAAAGCAGGAGGAAAAGGGGGCTACAGAGGATGAGATGGTTGGATGGCATCACCGACTCAAAGAACATGAGTTTGAACAAACTCAGGGAGATAGTGAAGGACGGGGAAGCCTGCCTGCAGGAAGCCTGGCTGCAGTCCATGGGGTTACAAAGTTAGATCCTACTGAGCAACTGAACAACAATAACAACACACACTAAGTCCCATCAACACACTGGACACAATCACAAAACTAAACATATATTTATATATATATATATGTTCATATATATGTAAAATACATGAAATGACACTATAACCAAGGCACACACCTACGTGTTTGTTTCACACCTATGTGTGTACTCTACTATGATTGAAGGAGAAAATTTCTACCAATTTCATGATCTATATATTCTTCAAAAATAATCATTTTTAAGAACTTTATGACAGACCTAGGAATATACAGACAATATCCAGATGAAATGGAGCAAGACCCTGTGGGATCCTTTCTGTCTCCTGTTTCTAGTTTGTAGTAAATAGGCTTCCTTCAGCCTCCCTGACCTTCCCTGAGTTCCAAAGGACAGATTCAAAGAGTTGCTTTTCAGGAAAGGGAGGGAGCAGAAGCCCAGAGACTAAGCAGGAGCAGTCAAGTAACAACAATGCAGCCGGGAGGCAGGGTTCTGGTTCCTCCCTAAGAAATATACATAACAAATTACCTTTGACTGTTATAGGAACTAAAGCCCCCATGCAGGTGGAGGATGGCGACTTCAGGATTAATACAAGACTGCAGGAGCACTGCCATGCTACCTCATCACTGACTGTACACAGTGGAAGATAATGAAGACAGATCCCCCTCCCCAAATGATTCTCGCTTTAAAAACTTTCAGGGTTGAGCAGAATCTTTGAAGTTGGTTTTTGGAAGCGAGTCTGCCTTCTGCCCAGATTGCTAGCCTCCTGAATAAAGCAACCTTTCCTTTTCTAACTAACACTTACTTCTCAAGTACTGGCTTTCAAGATGCAAACAGCCAAGCCTGAGTTCAATAACACAGAAACAATGAATAATAAAGACTGCTATCTAATTTGTCTGAAACTTTGGGTACGTTGTAACACTTTAAGGAAAACACATAAGGCAAATATGCACTGTCCTTTTTTAAGCTCTGAGGTTACCTACTCTCATACATATTAAACTGGGAACAGGGAAAAGGGGGGATAAAATTTGCAACTAATTCAATTACTCTGATAAGAAATCTAGTGACAAAGAACAAGATTATGATGTTATCACATCCTTAACTGTTTCCCCTCTGAGAAACAAACACACCAGAAAATATAATTTCTCCTCTATTTTAAGACTACTGATTCTGATATCATGAATTTAATAACAGATATTCATAGGGAAAAAAAACTACTTACAGTAAATATAATCACTGAATATACAGAATTTCAGATGTGTTAAAGTGTGAAATAAAAATATAGTAACTTTTTAATTAAAAAAGTATCTGTATTTTTACAAATAGGCTGACATTTGCTATTTTTAAAAGCAACAAAATTAAACAAAAAATTTAAATTACCAATAAGTAAATATTTAAGCACAAATAATTCTATGCTCTTATTCAGTCTATAATATTAGATAATAAAATCATGCTAAGTGACATAAACAGAACATAAAACATTAGGCACCCATTTATCACAAATATGTCAAAATTTAGTTAAGTTTATAAAAGAACAAAATAGCTTAGAGATGAAAACATTGGTTGCACCCCCGGGAGGAGAAGTAAATAGCTAGGAGAAAGAATTTGCAAAGCATATGTCATTATATCTTTTAAATTCTGAATCGAATGTACTAACTACTCAAAAACAAAAAACTACCCCTACCCCCACCACCAGAAATAAGAAACAGAACTGGTCTTAGAAACAGCAGCTCCTTTCACAGACCAGGTCCTCTCTCATACATGCTTCCCCATGGGAAACTTCGGAAGTCATATACTTTAAATGCATTTGAAAAAACTAGTTAGCCCTAGTTATCTGTGGATCCAAAATTTTTAATAGGCTTATCTACCTATGTATATATGGACATAAAAAAAAATCAAACTAAGTAAAGCTAGTGATGTGAAATAATAGACACTGAGATAAATAAAACTGCAGGTTAAAACATGATACACAGCTATATAGTCTTAAATGAACACTGTGTAATTTGATGTCTTCCTACCTTCCTACCTTGCACTTGTGTTAACTAGCATACCAATTCATACAATAATACCTTTGGTGAATTTTTTCACTCACCAAATCAACAAAATTAATTTCTAACCTCTGTTAAACTTCCCTTTCAAACTTGTTGTTTATTGTTTTAAAGAGATGCGAGCATTAATATTAAAACTGACTTAGATGCTTCCATTTTTCAGTATTGTCATTTCTTTGTTCCAGAACTGAATTACAAATGACACAATGAGACAGAACAATT